TACATATACGCACACAAGCACACACACACACGCACACAAACACACACATACACATATACGCTCGCACACTCCCACACACACACATATACACATAGATGCACACCTACATTTTACACCGTAGCAAACAACTTTCACACAAGAAGGAAGTTTCATTTTATCATAGTTCTCTCACACGTGCATTCATGGAAAGTCATCGTCGACTGCTTGCGTAGAAAGAAATGCTTTCACTTCTATTGTATGAAAACCTATATACAATGACTCAAGTAAGTGCATTCTTTTTGCGTTATTACGAGCAATTCAGATTTACGAATGGATCAAAGATTGTAAGCTTTCATACAATAAGTTCTCTTTGCTCTAGAAAAAAGGGTGCTCATAACTGCTTTAGATCTGGATCTTAGTGTTTTTGTCACCCCACAACACATCAACTGAAGCCTCTAGAAGTGTAAAGATTTTACGAAAGAATCCGTGGCGCATGAAAATAAACTGTTAGAGTTCTGGTGCTGTCTCATTAAACAGTATTCGAGACACACATGTAATTAGAAGTCTCAATCTCACCTTATGGGCCAATAGCACCCGAACAATGAACTCAGTCGGATTTCTTTTTTCTGTGACACGTTTGGGGAGAGACTTTCAACTCTCTCTCTCTCTCTCTCTCTCTCTCTCTCAAGCTACCTTTACGCCGTAAAGTACTATACAAGGCCACTACTTTTTTGCTGCTAATATTTCAGAGAATGTCATTTATACAGATGTTAACCATAAAGATGTCTTCCTGTCTTTTGCACCATAAATTTACATTTGGTCCTTATACAATGGGTCCACTTTTTCGAATATAACCCTTTCAAAACATGACTCAGCATGCCCCAAGAGCCATATATTATATTAATTATCAACGCCCACATTCTTCCGAATTAATGCCTTCAAATATGTGTGCTATTAAAGCAAACCGTTGTGTTTTTCTGATGATGTTTTATTTGCATCGAATAAAATCGCAAATAATTTTATGCACTGACAACGGAAAAATCTAAATTCAGTCCTCGAGTTTATCAGTTCATACTAAAGAATACTGCAGATCTCAGATGAAATGGAACAGACATTCAACAGATGCACTCAATATGACGTCACGTGATGACCACTCCCTTTGCCACACAGTCTCCAGACTGGCTGTCCAGGAGAACTGGCCACAAAAAGCTCTTGATGGCGTCAGTGTCACTGTCCGACGTGTGGAAACGGACGTGGTACTGTGGCTGCAGACAACATTGCACAGGGTTGAAAGAAGAGGGGGGGGGGAGGAGGAAGGAGGAGAGGACGTTAAAAATTTAAACAACGCTGAAAGTTAACATTTAGCGGTAAAAGTAACTGACTACGTTGGTAGTGGCATCGACAAAAAGAAACAACAATTTTATAGATAAGCTTTTAAAGAGGGGGAAATGACACTCTTAATCATAGGTACTTGGGAGGGAAGAGTTTCACATCCTGGACAATTTCAGTTACTCAACGAGCACAGCTTTTGACGGTCGAATCGGAAACAAGCTAAGAGAAAACATATTCGAGGAGGGAATAAAAGAAAATTTAAAAAAAAGAGAAAAAAACCCTCACCTGACACAATGCCTTTCTATATTGGTCAAGACCATTAACTAAACAAGCCACAAAAGCTAGCGGCCAGTTTTACTAGGGTATCTTAAAAACAACACAACATAAACCTAGTTCCTAAAGGAATGACGATGAGAAAACCTCTAATATCGCCGAAACAATGAAAACAACGCTATGGAGATTTTCATTTCTATTATCTTGATTGTCTTATCTGATAGAATAATGGTGATCTTTACTTATAATCTGAAACAAAGTACTACTAAAAGAGACAATAATTTTGTGGGTCGTTGGCGGGTGCTCTGGTGTGGTTTGCTTCTTCATTCCTATCAAACATCTATCGTCTTTATCTCCCCCTCCTTTTTTGTGTTTGTTACTCTCTAGTAACACCTCTAATCTTCGGCACATATTATATGACCTTATTGAGTTGAAAGTGCCGTAAAACACTTACTAAAACAAAATACTATACAATAATGTTATTGTCAGCTCAGTGTTTTACCAGAAAGGACCGGTGGTCGTAGGCTATAGTGTAGGGCGGTTGCTGAACGCTCAGGGCCCATGCCAGACGAACCACAGAGGCCGTGTAGTCAGCCAGACCCGCGCACGTCTTGAGGCCGGGGTAGTCGTAGAGAGTGGCATAGATGTTCCCACAGACATCCTAAGAAGTATAAAGTTCAAGAGTGGACATGAACTTTTTGAATGTATATACAATCGAACCTGCCTTAACAACTACCTGTTTAAGACAATTACCTGTACAAGCGGCCACTTCCCATTTCATCCCTTGTGTATTTTTTATATTATAATGACACCGAGTTGGATGTCCACAGGTCAAAGACAATCACTTTCCTCCTCAACAATTGGCGGCCGTCTTTTACATATCATGTCGTGAAGCATCGTGGTGAAATCAAGCGGTGGTCGTCAAAATAATGAAGCCGAAGAGATGGATATTTTCCTGCCCGTTGGGCTATTTTTATAAGTCTTAAAATATTTGGCACTACACCTTTTATGCCTGTCTAAAAACACATTTCGGCACGGACTTTACTTCTGAAAACGTTGATCAATTTTACAAACATAAAGTAAACCTACAGTTTCCTAAATTACTCAATCTTTGGGTGTCATCAATCGTTGGCGGACATTTCCTCGCAAATTTCCCTCTGGCACCAGGCGTTTCCCACATCTTTTAAACGCAAATATCTCGACTTCTATTCAAGATCGGTGGGTATTTCTTTCGCCTAAAGCAAGATAAATGGACAGCCCTTAATATTATACTAATAACTCCATATGTTCCAAAATTGTGGAGCGGCTGATTCCACCATGTCTTTACAAATTATTTTTAATAATGCATTTCAACAAGAATAGCACTAAATGACTTAGTGGCGTCTAAAGAGAACTATTTTTTTCCTGTGAATACTTTGCTCAACATGAATGATCGCATCTAAGAAACATGTACAACGCTTGTATATAATATGCTGCTGAGCTTAATTCCGTGCTTTTCTATAAAGTCACTTTGTAGTTCGGAAATTTGAGTTATAAATCCTTAAAACAACCTCACTCTAATCTACCACCAAAATGATGTAGGTGTGGCTTGAAGCCTGCAACTTGTATATGAACTAACCCCAAATCATTTGGTATCTCTTTAAAACTGCTTTCTGCTGAGCTCTTTTGGAAAAGATTTAGAGCAACGATTGGTTACATTTGAAACTTTAAAAATAATTTTCGCGCCTGTTTCATCTGTATTTTACCTGCATTTTGTGCATAGCCTGAAAAGACAAAGCTTACTTACAGGACCGTTAAAAGTATGCATTCTCCTTAACACAACCATTAAGAACCTATTCATAAAAGCACCAGTCAACGCATGTACGTATGCTGTTTTTGTCCCTTTCCCTCTGTATTTCAGTTCATTTTCCTGTAAGTTCATGCATCACACACACACACACACACACACACACACACACACACACACAGACACACACATACACACATACGTAAGCACGCACACACGTACACACACATATTCACGTACACAGGCAGGCAGGCAGGCACGCACGCACGCACACACCTTATCTCATCACACACGCACGCACATACATCATTACGAGTAAGCCAAACAAACTATACAAAGTGTAATGTACACAATGCAATCCGTAGTTTAACATTAATAAATAGAAAATCATACATAACATTGTAACTGAAGCTACAAATATGTAATAAAAATGTTGGGAGATTGGTGGGTGGTCTGGTACAATTTGCTCCTTCTTTCCTGCCAAACGTCATTCTTTTTCATCTCTCCTTCTTCTCTTATTTGTATAAATATTGCTCTCCATAAACGCCCCAAATCTTCGACACTTATAACATAACTGTGTTTCAAGTGTCGCAAAACTCTTAGTAAAACTGTAAAAGAAGAAGTGTAAACTTAACATAATAATATTATGACATACGTGAACAATTGCGCCGATGTCATAGGTTTGTGTTGTCCGGGTGAGGAAGTTACTGATGTGTCCCTCTATGTCCCAGGCGAGGGGATCGGTGGGGGCGTCAGTTGTTGGTGGTGGAAGACACAAGAGGTGCCTTAGACGTCCACGGAGATCTTGGAAGTGTTGTTGGGCACAGCGGAAGGAAAGCTTGTGGTTTGATGTGGGAGGGGGGAGGGGTAAG